ACCAAGAAAGATCGAAGCAGCACCAGTCAAACTACATGGAACTAGACAAGGACCCAATGGCTCTAATGTTAAATCGGAAGCGGAGCTATAATTCCATTAGTCAAAATGAAGATAGGAGGAGAGATTGAGCGATACCTTGCCCTCCGTAAGTTTATAGTAATAATTATAGTAATCACTAACGTACATGTATAGCGAAAGCGCCAAACAAGCGAAAGCGCCAAAATGATGCGGTGACCAAACCCCCCAACTAAATGTTAAATTCCTCAACAACAAAACATGCCCCATAAAAACGATGAAAGCCAATTAGTGCTAGCTATCCAGGCTATGCAAAGCGACCCAAAGTTACGCCTTCGAGTTGCTGCTAGGATCTATTCTGTGGACCACCGCAAGCTAGGTCGTCGTCTAGAAGGTGTACCTTCACGACGCGATATCCAAGCCAACTCACGGAAATTAACTAACCTAGAGGAGTCCGTCCTTGTTCAGTATATACTCGACCTAGCTGCCAAAGGGTTTCCTCCTCGGCTGTCTGTTGTTGAAGATATGGCAAGTCGACTACTTGCAACACGCGACGCGTCACGCGTTGGGTCGCGTTGGGCTTCAAACTTTGTTAAGCGGCGTGTAGAGCTCCAGACACGCTTTCAGCGCAAATACGACTACCAGAGGGCTAAGTGCGAAGATCCAGAAGTTATTAATGGCTGGTTTGAGCTTGTGCGTAACACAATTGCGAAATATGGTATCGATGAAGCAGATATCTACAACTTTGATGAGACTGGGTTTATGATGGGCGTTATCTCAACTGCTATGGTTGTAACAAGCTCAGACGGGCGGGCAAAAGCAAAGAAGGTACAGCCTGGTAATCGGGAATGGGTTACAGTAATCCAAGGCGTTAGTTCTCAAGGTTGGGCAGTACCACCATTTATCATTGTTGCAGGCAAAAACCACCTTACATCTTGGTATGAGAATAGTGGATTTTCAAGCGATTGGGTGATTTCTGTTACTGAAAATGGCTGGACTACAAACGAGAGAGGCATGGATTGGATTCAGCACTTTGAGAAGCATACAAAGGCCCGGAGTGTTGGTGGTTATCGCTTGTTAGTCCTTGATGGTCATGAGAGCCACCACTCAGATGAGTTTGAGGAGTACTGCAAGGAACACAACATTATTACGCTTTGTATGCCTGCTCACTCTTCTCATCTACTCCAGCCACTTGATGTTGGCTGTTTCGGCCCGTTAAAGCAGGCCTATGGTCGGCAAATTGAAGATATGATGCAGGCTCATATTTCTCATATTACAAAGGATGACTTCTTTCCTGCCTTCCACACTGCATTTAACACTACAATGACGGAAAGTAACATTCGAGGCGGGTTCCGAGGGGCAGGGCTTCTTCCATTTGACCCTGAGAGAGTGATATCTACACTTGATCTTAAGTTAAGGACACCAACGCCTCCAAGCTCCCGCCCAGGTACTGCTCAACCTTGGGTTTCTCAGACACCAAACAACCCAATTGAAGCTATGTCACAGTCTACATTTATTAAAACTCGGATTTCACGCCATCAAAATAGCTCTCCAACCTCAATCTATGCAGCTGTTGACCAGTTTACAAAGGGTGCATCGCAAATAATGCATCAATTAGCACTGCTAAAGGGAGAGAACCAAAACCTACGACAGGCAAATGAAGTACTAAGCAAGCGCCGGAGAGCTAGGAAAACACGACTACAGCAAGGAGGATCACTTAGTCAACAAGGGGCGCAAGAGCTACAGGATGAGAGGGATGTTGTGCAGCAGGTAGAGCAGGAAATAAGGGCAAGCCGTGGTCGGAAGCCAAGGGAAGAAACCCGTGCCCGTCGCTGTGGCAAGTGTGGTGAGACTGGGCACAATGCGCGCACGTGTCAGATTGTAATAGACACCTCTGAGGAAGAGGACTCCGAGTAGTTTCAATTGATTTCTAATGTTGTGGTAGATTTATCGCAATGTTTGTCGTGAGGGTAGATAATTTTGGCGCTTTCGCTTGTTTGGCGCTTTCGCTATACATGTACGTTACTAACTTTTATTAGCACCCTCCCATCAGCCACCATTAAAATGGTGGAAAGAGAACGAAAGACTATTCCCTGGACTTGCTGCTATGGCCCGGGATATACTTTGTATTCCTGCTTCAGAAGCTCTTGTTGAGTGAGTCTTTAGTACTGCCCGCGCTGTCTGTAATTATAAGCGCAATCAAATGACCCCTGATACAATACGGGGAATTATGCTTGTCTTCTACCGCCAGAAGATTGAACGGGAACAGCTATTTGAACACTACTCTGTTACAGATATCATTGATTCAACTTATATGAATGACGAGGAAATATTGTTTGAGTATCATGCTCTAATTTGTAATGGTGGGTGCACCAGATATGAGAATCTAGCCACCCAAGGAAGGGATGAATTTACTAAGACAACACACTGTCTTAGGAAACAGAGCCAAAGGGTTGTAGCTTAGACTATTCCACAACGCAGCAATCAGGTGTATGATGTGGTGAAGTGGTTTAGACAAGTTGCAACAAATGTTGAGTCTGAGAACTCAGGGGTAAGTCAGAGGTTAGCACCTCACTGACTTTTCAAAAACAGAGAATAACAAGATCAATGCTTGGAAGCTTGGAAAAGACGTAGAAGTATGTGCTAGTCGATTTACTGTATTGCCTGCTTGCCCTTTCTTAAGGAAAGGGCAATCCTATTTATGCCAAAGGAGTGTAGTTCTCTCATTTTCCATGACTTTCCATGACTAACCAGGCTTGGTAAATGTATTAGAAATCAAGTGCGACCCACAACTAGCTTGCTAATCATGTAGTGAACGTAAGAGAATCCCATAGAACCATCTCTTGGGTTCCTAGCCTATAGGAAGTGAAAAGGAGGTCCAAGGTCAGAGTACCTATAGACAAATTATGTCATAACTTAACCAATCTTGTGGGTAACTAAGGAGCGATGACGTGTAATGAATCATAGAGGGTTGTAGAAGCTTCTAGAGCTATCGTTCATGTTCCTAGGCCTCTAGTTGGTAGAGATATGCCATGTGGTAGTATTGGCCCACCCCCTTAAGGAGGAGATTTTCTTAATAACTTGTTCAATGAGTGTCCAAATGATATGCCGTGATGTATGTAGCATAAACAGATGTAGTAGAAGAGTTTGCAGCAATCGTTGAGTAGTATTGCTTCTGTTGTTGGTGTGATAAGCCAAGATATGTATGGTGACTTGTAGGTTTGAGGAGGAGATTTCTAAGTTTGCTCTTGAGTTTGATAGCAAACTGAGTGCAACGAATGTCAGTATGACATAATTGACAATATCCAAGAGAAGATGACGCTACAGTATATTCCAGACCGAAGCCCAAGGCAGCCAAATACCTATGATAGGACAAAGCGGAACCCGGACCAATTTGATTTTATTCAATCGCGACGAGGCCGTCCATTACAAAGGGTACAGCAATCACAGTCCTACCGCCAAGGGCAACGCCGCCAAGTTCGTTACCCAAGTCAGGCTAATACATCAACCTTTGACTTAATTGATTCAGAGCCAGAAGATGTAGAGGGGCTACCCCCAAGCCACGATGGGTGTGATTACACCCTACCTTCACTTACAAGGCCAAAGGAGGACAATAGGGCCCAGTCACCTTATAGGGAAATGGTCGAAACAATTGAGTTAAGCCAAGTCCGTAACAAGTCCCGGTCTGGCCGGGAAATCCGGGAGCCATGGCGTAATATAGATCTATAGTAATTATAGTAATTGCATCTACTACAAATTACACATGGAAAATAAGTCATTATATAGAATATTTACACGTCATTGTCAACTAACCCAGTCATCACGTGATGACAGTCTTGGCAGACCGACGGGGAACCGCGGTTTATGAGCTTCAGACCGGACCGTGGTCCGGTCCGGTTTAGGTCCCCCGACGGGGTCGGTCCCCCGTGGCGCACACTAGTTAGAATGAACGGTGTCACTCTAAAGGCTGGTTCCTAGCTAGTTAGCCAAAGTCTAACTAGAATTGAAGAAGAAGTAGTAGTTCAATACATACTTAATCTAGATTCGCAAGGGTTTCCGCCTTTAATTAGAGATGTGGAAGTAATGGTCAATTCCATCCTCACGTCACAGGGTGCATGACACGTTAGGAAGCAGTGGCCCTACGGCTTCATTTAACGACGCATAGAGCTTAAGACACGTTTTTCTTGCGCCTATGACTTCTAAAGGGCCCTCTACGAAGATCCTACTGTGATTAGTGCATGATTCCGCCTGGTATCTAGCATGTAGGCAAAATACAGCATCCTACAACTTTAACAAGACAGGCTTTATGATGAGTGTTATCTGCTCTAGTATGGTTGTTACACGATTCCGATTAGCGTGGAAAAATCAAAGCTATCCAACCTAGTAATAGGGAATGGGTAAAAGCCATTACTTGCATTAGTAGTAAGGGCTAGGACCTTCTGCCACGATTAATGAAGTTGCAAGTCCAATGTATACCAACGTTAATGCGTAGCGCGTCGCGTGATGCAAGAATGTAACGGGTGCCGCCGTTACAGTACATGTGGTATATAAAGCGTGTTACGCGTATTCCGGGCGAGCCGGAATACTGTAGTCTTTTTGGCTCAGTGGGATGTAGCGCGAGCGTAACCGTACATCATTACAAAGAAGTCGATTTGCCATATCTTCAACGATGGACACTGGGGGAGGAAATCCTTTTGCAGCTAGGTTAAGGATATGCAGACTGAGGACTGATTCCTCTAGGTCGGTCAATTTTCGCAAATTGGCTTGAATATTGCGTCGTGGTTACATACCATGCTTATGGCGACTGAGCTTCTGGTGATCAACAGAATAGATTTTTCCAGCTGCTCAGGCGCTTAGCTTTGCATTGTTTTGCATAGCTTAGAGGGCTAGAACAACATTTCTTTCATCATTTTTCTAGGGCATCCTTTGTGGTGGAGGAATTATGTGTTTCGTGTTAGTATTGTGTAGTCGCGTCAGAGTGAATAATTCATGAATTTGAATATCAAGCTTACGTAATATTCAAGAATACGTTGAATAATTTTGCTAACCCTGTATATTATGAAGTTGTTGAGTTATTATCTTATAAATTTCTCAATTTTAGGTGGGAAGTTCAGTGATCGCTTCGTCCGGGTGATCGCTTCGCCTGTGAAATACGTTGATGATATAGTTAGTACACACAAATAGTGATATAAAAATCGCCCTGTAGGACATCTCACACCACCCCACATCCATCATCCCCAACCTCCCCCTCCTCCTATTCCCTCCCAAAAAACGAAATAAACGCCTCATGGGCATTACCCAACCCACATCCAATGTATATGATCATATCCTTATATCCCAAAAAACCCTCATAAAACCACCCACTCACGGCCACATCGCCTCCACAAACAAGGAATGCGCCCCCTTCTCCCCCCTGAGCCTGCTATACTCATCCTTAAAATTCATCCCCCCCCCTTCCTTAACGCCCTCCCACGCCTTCCTCTTCGTCCTACTAACCACGTGCCGTCTCAGCGCCACATTCCACGCAAAACTGCTCAGCTCGATGCCCCCAAACGCCGATGCGCGGAGGAGCACCTCGTAATCCACCAGCGCCTGCTGGTCCCACGTCATAGCGCGCAGCGCCTCCATCTCCGCCTCATCGAGGAGGTCTTCCTTCGCCAGCGCCATGGCGCCGCGCTTCGCGGCGTCCGTGCGGAACGTCTCAGCGGGTGCAGACTCCGATGTGACGTATAGCGTCTTTAGCTTGACCTCGTCGGCGAAGTGGAGCAGGAAGGCAGCTTGCTGCTCGTAGCCCGTCCAGCCGGCCTTTGTGGCGTCGGCGGCGACGCGGAGGTGCGCGCCGAAGAAGGCGGAGGGCGTGATGCCGATGGGGGTTATGGGGATGTTGTGTTTGGTGCGTAGGGCGTGGACGGCTGCTGCGGCGAGGCGGCGAGAGGGTTCGCGGATGCGGAGGAGGCGGCCGAAGGAGGTCATGAAGGCGGTGGGGTCGGAGTAAATGGGGAAGTTGAGGAGGGGGGTTGCGAGAGAGATGGTGGAGCGGCCGGGGGCGATGGGAGGGTGCTCGGAGAGCCAGCCGTCGAAGGCGGGGCGCCATTTCTCGGGGCGGAGGATGACGGTGGCGGCGAAGGTTTCGGAGAGGAGGTGTTGGGGGGAGAGGTCGATGGGGGGGTTGAGGACGAGGTCGCCTGGGGCGGTGGTGTAGAGGGCCATTTGCGGGCAGGCTAATGCGAGGGAGGCCTTGAAGTGTTCAAGGTCGAAGAAGTAGTCGAAGGGGACAGTGTTGTTTGTCGTCAGCTTCGAGAGGTCGTCGGCGTCGCGCTTCACTATCTCCGGGACTACGAAAGCGCCTAGGACGGTTAGTTTGGCTAAGGGTTGATAGTAAGGGAAGTGGGGGACCAACCTCCCGCTTCAATGGCATAGCGCAAACAGGTCAGGAAGACGTTCCGGATGTTCCCAATTCCCCCCTGGGGCGCGCCACAGACAATGGTCAAGTTGTCATTCCATGTCTTGCTCGCGCAGACCTTCTGTATCGGCGCCGGGTCGAAGCGGCCATCAATCTCATGCTCCAGGAAGGCCTGAATGAACGACGCCTTGTCGTCGAGGTTGGTGCCTTTGGGGAGCTTGTCTGTCTTCCCAAGGGGGAGGATGTTGGTAGTAAGGTGATGCAAGTCGTGGCGGTAGAGGGTGAAGTACAGGAAGGCAGTCGAGACGGCGACGAAGAGCATCAACGCTCGCAGGGGCGGCTTGAAGGGTAGCATTGCTCGCTGGCGCCGCGGTTGTTGTCGTACTTACTGCGCTTGTCGGCGCACGACAATCTATACAACTTTTTCGTGGCGCCGCGAGGTGACGAGGCTACGTGCTATAAGTAGTGGAGATCGGCAGTTGTTGTTCCGGAGTTTGACCACGCGCTTGTCTCGGTCCTGTCGCTCAATGAAATGTCTCTCGAGAGGGTATATATATACATAACATATGTACAAAAAGATGAGAGAGAGAAGATGTTGCTACATTGCTGATGGAGACCTTGTGTTGGAGTTGTAGGCGACCCAGCATAAATGGGGACGAAGAAATTGGTGAAGGATTGGCCAAGAATCGGTGATTGGGCAAGAATCACGAAAAAATAGAGCGCTTGATTTCGCTTTATAGTAGCATCGTATTCGGTGTGGCTATGCTTCGTTTGGGGTAACGACCAGAATCCCGTGACCATTTCTTGCCGAATCGTCGTCACCAAACGATGATCTTGCTCGGTCTTGCTCGGTCTTGCCATCACCTTGGTGGATGGACAGTTGAGCGAGTCAATTGGTCGGCGAAGACGCGTCGAGCGCGAAGAGTGGTACTTGCAGCTGTGATGCATCTTTCGGCAGCTGCGTAACTCTTTCGGCAAGCAATGGGTATATGGTAAATGATATATGATATATGATATATGATATACGTATGATATATGACAAGTTATGGAAATTGAAGACCAGGTCCAGGTAATATAGCATAGCCAAGCTGACTAAACTGGGCTCTGGTCCCCTCCCCTTCCCCAGACGCCCTACCCGAGCCCCCGTTTGATTTGATGTCTCGGCACTTGACGCGACCCCGACGCGTCAAGTCAAGGAAACAAGGTGATGCACGTTTTGAGACTGCCGGACGTGCTCCGTACATGCTGTGCTGAATATCCTTCATCCACTGGTTCGTCCACCACCACCCACTAACACCACTACCATCACACACTACATACACCCAGAATCAACCCACCACCCACAACATGACCACCCACCAGCACCAGCACCACCACCACCACCACCACCAGCACCAGCACCAGCACCACCACCCACCACCAACACCCAGCACCACCACCCACCACACCACCCACCACCAACACCCACCACCCACCAACACTCACCACCCACCAACACCCACCACCACACTACATACACCCATCACACTACATACACCCCACCACCACCCACCACCCACCACCAACACCCACCACCAACACTCACCAGCACCAGCACCAGCACCACCCACCACCACCACCCAGCACCAACACCCACCACCACACTACATACACCCATCACACTACATACACCCCACCACCACCACCAACACCCACCGCCATCCCTCCCACACTCTGCGTCCGCCCCGTGCCCCCGCTGCAATACTCCCTCCTCCTCCTCCTCCTCCTCCTCCTCCTCCCCCCTCCCCCCTCCCCCCTCCCCCCTCCCCCCTCCCCTCCTCCTCCTCCTCCCCCCCCCCCCCATCCTACACCTCCAATCCCACCCTTCCATCTTCTTCTCTTCTACCCAACCACACAACACCTACGTACTTTACCACCACTCACTCGTTACCTCTTCCCTTTTCTCCGTACATCCTACATCTTTTTATTAACCTCATTAACCTCCAAGTCCACGTCCAACAAGCCGGTTGACTTTGCGACGCGACAAAACCACTCCTCACAATCACTCCAGGACACCCCGAAAACCGCGCGATTGTTTGTCCCAACTCACCAAATCCACGTCGGATTATGCTACAAGATATTACATCCAAGTCGCGTCAATCTTCAGTTCCTCAATCCGTCGCGATATTTTCCGGAACCGCTCGCTGAACGCGCTTGCTGCTCCCAGCATTCAAGGGCCTGCCGCGACCAGAACTCGAGGACCCTTTTTGTCTCATTCGAAGCACACGCCGTGGTCCCCCAACCTCGCCATTTTTTTTACACACACCAAAATACCGACCTCGACACATCCGAGCCTGCATATCACGGGTCTTACGTCTCGTATGTTGCACTGCGACCGGTAACCGATTGCGCACGCGACATTCTGCTTTCCTGTCCATGCCACTTGGGCTGACCGTGGTCGACGCCGGATCGGTTGCGGCGACCGCCATTGGCGTCGTGACCTCACTGGACCCCCAACGATCCTGAATGACCTCGTACGACGCGGGTATACAGCCTCTCCATTCTAATACTGGCGCATCTCTTCAATCCGATAACCTTTGTCATATTACGAACAAGTTCTTCCCGCCACCTATACAGATCTACACTTCAATCTCACCAACCTCTATTCCCAACCTTCCACCTTTTCCCGAAAGCAACCATCTACCACAATCGAACATGATGCTTCCACCAGAAGCGTCTGCGCTCTCGCGGAACTCCCGCTACTGTACCCCGGAGCCAACGGCTATGGCCGAGCTCCCAGAGCCATCGGCGCCTCGCGCACAGCCTAGACTGAGGATTAAGCGCCGCAACATCTCCCGCGCCGCTGGACCAACCGATGCCTTCCTTGCCTCTGTGGCTGCAGCAGATGTGGCGATCCCCTCGATCGAGTTCCCAGATGCGGCTGCGGACTTCGAAATGGTCGATGCTGGGGCCGCGCAGGGTTGCCTATCCCCACTGCCCCGTCCGTCGCCTCCAAAGACCCCGATGCCAGGACAGTCAAGCCCATACCACGGCGATGGCTACAGGAGGACAGACTGGTATGCTTCTACACCAGGCACCCCAGACAGACCCTCGTCCTCTCACTCTGACCCGTCGAACTGGTCGGACGACTCTTACTTCAGCGGCAACAACACCATGCGCTCCAATGGCACGATCTGCACCAGCCCAGATAGCGAGATGGGAGATCCATTTATCTCAACGCCTCAAAAAGAGGCCAAGAACAAGCACACCTTGACTTATAATGAAGTCTACGATGCGACAAGTGATCAATATTCTCAAGTTCGCGGCAAGAAGTATGTCGAGAGCCGCTGGACCAAGGACCAGAGCGATCACCTCCTGCGCACATACCATCTCTACCTCCAAGACCCCACTGTGACACCCTTCCGCATGGAGAATAGCCGCATTCCACCTGAGGGCATTGTGTGCCGCGTCTCCAAGGAGGCGAAGAGGAGTTGGAAAGGCCCGAAACCCAAGAAGCCATCCAAGCTTGACAAAGGCAAGGAGCGCCAATACCCAGGCTCGAACCTGACTGTCGAGGCAGCTTACCTGGCGCCGTTAAACTCGGACGCCATGGACTTTGCGCGCGGCCGCAGCCCAACACCCACCGGTGATGCGCCAAAGGCCTACATTAAGTGGGCACACTCTGGTGCCGCCACACGCAGCCACCTCCGCCAACTGTGCAAGTACAACTATGACCAGTCGGCGCAGATGTACATGTACCTCCAAGGTCGCGCTACTACCCCCTTCTCTCAAATCCGCGACGACGCCTCTACCACCTACCTCCTTGGAGAGGCTCGCGCCCCCGCAGACACCCAACCTTTCTCCACCAAGTCCATCGCGCTCTCCCTTGCCACCAGCGCTTCGGAAACCATGCAACCCGGCGGACCCCTTGCCCGCCTCGCCCTCTCCCAACCCCTCAACACCACGACAAGCATCAGGGACTTCGCAACCCCTCCCGCTCGCCGTCTCGGCTCCCCCTTCGCCGCGAAGACATACGGCCCGCAATCCTCGCGCCCTCTCCTCCCCGCACCATCTTCGAAATCCCTCGCCTCCACTCTTCGCCCCTCAACCCTAACAGGCACGCAAAAGCGCCGCGCCATGCACGACCCCGAAGACGCCCATTCCTCCCGTCCCTCCATCCTCTCCGCGAACTTCTTTGGACCCCCAACGGAGCCCACAGCCGACAGCCAGCAGGAGAACGACCAGCGCCGCGTCCGCAGCCGTGGATACACTGTAAACGACGCCTCGGTCCGCGGCCGCGATTATGCCCTCTTTGCCCCGCGCTCGATCAACTTCGCATCCCCCGCAAACGATGTCTTTGGCCCTGAGCCCTCTCCAGGCCCAACCTCGCGCACACAATCAGCGCGCAACTCGTGGTCACGTGTTGCTGGCGCTGCGGCACTATTGCCACCGCCGGTGTTCAGACTCAATGGTTCGGGAAGGCAGGAGAATAGCACATTCCCCCGCCACGGACATGGGGTCACTGAAGTGGATGTCGTTGGTGGGGTGAGGTGGAGCACCTTCCAGAATATGGGCAGGCAGGTGAGGCATTCGATTGAGTCGTTTGACTTCGCGCCGAGTCCGATGAGGGCGAGGCTTGCGGAGATGAGCGAGCGTATCGACGGCAGAGATCGCAGCCTGTGAGCGCCGCGCCATTGATGCGTGGGTGCTGTTCGGTGGATTGCGGGATATGTTATACTCCTGATACGAATAAATGACCCAACAACGGTGGCGTTCTAATAGGGCACGCATTATGACGATTGCCCCGGATACTATTTTCCACTTTATTACCTTTCTTTACTTTATTCTTCCGTCGACCCCGTCCACGAAGCCACAGAACGAGCTGCCCAGCGCCCCTGCAGACTCGGAACGCAACAGACGCGGCGACGGAGAGATTTTTTACGCATACGAACTACCTACCCACACACAGAAAACAGCATCGCGGACGATTTTTACGCGCATTGCATTGCACCGGCGTTCAGTATTGTGCTTTTCCCCATCCTACCCGAAGATGTCACAACAATTCTTCACTGCTCTTTTTTTCGACATCCGAGAAAGTGCTGACGAGGAGGGTTGAAGGGGGGGGGGTGGGTGGAAGCACCGAGAAAAAGAAAAACGATGATTTATTTTGATTCTGCAGGAGACGGACGCACTGAGACGAGAGATGTGATGACTAGATGACCACCACAATAACAACAACCATGCTACGACTGAAACGACTATGAATAAGCTATACTTCCAACACTGGAACCATTTCCTTCATTTTTTTTTTTTTTTTCTTCTTCTTTGCCGACGGGGATAGTCGGCTGTTTGGGGGGTTTGTTGTGGTTTTTTTCCGAGGTTGCTGGGGTTTGATGATGATGATGAGGTGTTGTGGATATTCCGGGATTAGAACTTGCTGGGGGGAGGTTGCTTGAGGATGGATAGAGATGGGGGGCAATGAATGGTGTGGAAGATGGGTGAATGGAAAGCTGTGAAGCAATTACTGTGTTTATGAGTGATGTGATGTGATGCGATGTGACCTTGCTGGACTCTGCTTGCCTTGACCCGAGAGGGTGGAGCTTCTCCGGCCTTGAAGAAATCCCCGACACCAAACCCAGATTGTCGGGAATAACGGCCCACCCTGCTCCTGGCCTATAAAATAACCGCCTTACCGTCAACTCTCTGCTCTCCTACCAAAGCACAAAGAGCACGTAGAAACCTTCATGGGTGCCCCGGGAGGTAAGAGCGCAGACGAAAAAACGTCACAGCTGTCGCGCTCCTGGTGCGCCTCAAATGTTGCCAACAGCAGCGACGCTGTGACCGTCGCGCCAAGATACTGCTGTCGCTCATTCTTAGTCGTCACATTCTCGTTGTCACCAGCTATCCCGTCGTTGGTTCCCATACCCGTAGTTACGGACCACGCGGTCCATTCGCGTGGATGTCCTGTCAGCTGGTCTATCCTCGATAGCGGACGACGAATTGCGTAACTGTTGTCATCCATCATGAAGGCTATATATATCTTACGCTGCCGACCACTTTCGCTATGCTGGGGGTGAAGGGGCTGACGCAGGAGAGGACGGTGCTGGGGGAGATGGATGGGGGATATACGGAGGTAGGTAGGGGGAGGGGGTCTGAGATGTGAAAGGTGTGGGGGATTGGATGATGAGGTTTATCAAAAACCCGAACCTTATATGGTGGCACGGAGTATGGGAAGCAAGAAAAATGAAACTATCAATCAACTATGGTTCATTCGCAAAGTAGCTTGGCAACTAGTAAACACCCACCTCCCTCCTATGTCCCCCCCATAAGACTTGTTTGAAGCGGACCATGCATCCCCACCATCTCTTGCTAGAATTCTACGAGAATAGTCAAATTATAATAGTATTTAAAAAATAAAGGTAGTCTCCGACCACGGACAGCACTTACTATCAACAATACAGCAATAGGTATATATTGAGCTGCTATGGTTCACATGGCAGCTCCTAACCCGTGCTGTCTGGAAATCATTGATTAGGCCGCGGGGATAACCACTAGTGCTTCAGGAACGTCGTCGAACTCGGTTCCAATAATTCGGCGGCGACGGACACAACCAAGGCGCTCAACGTGGTCGTGGCCAGCTGGAACAAGGTCTTAGTAGGAGGCGGGGAAGTTGCTGTTGTTGGGTAGTTCTTGTTGTTTGGGTTTTGCTGTCGTTAGCTAATCTTGTTGTCGATTCTTGCCATTCGTCACATAATTTCTTGGTTCACACACTGCAATCATACCTACTGCTCCGACTCCCTATCAGATAATGCATCTCGGATCGGTGATATAACCAACACAGCCAATGAATCCACCGGGTCTATGTTTTTTGTTAGGAGTGCATAGTTACAATACAGTAAGTTGCGTTGTGAGGTTTTATACTGGCGAAGGCACGGACCCTCGCCGCCGCCCCCGCCGCCACCAGCCCACCACAGCAGGGACCCGTTTGAATCGTTCCCATTCTGCCACGCTGGACTTGGCCATTTTGGCGAGAAATGGGAGAGCTGCGGAAACCAGAGTTCAGCTATGACCCGACAAGGGAAATTACAGTACCCATGGCCATAGCTGGTCAAAGTGGGCTACCGGTAGTGTAATAGGTGTAGTGCAGCAGAATAGTCGCTCCCGGGCACGTGACATTTCGTCAGGTGACATATTCAGTGGGATTGTAAGCAAGGAGCTCATTGTAATTGAGAGAGGAAGTAGTAATTGAGAGAGGAAGTAGTAATTGACTGCTATATTTACTACTACAATGATTTACAGAGTACTTATATCTCTCCAATTGAGGGATATATGACGTGGCATCCCTAGGTCGTGGCGGTTGTGAGGTCCGGCGCTCGGAGGAGCTCCCATTTCTCGCTAAAATGGCCAAGCTCTTCCCCGCATTTTTTGGCAGGAACACGACGTCAAGCCAACGTTCCCACCTGCATTCCTCGATTGCAGACACACGTAGCTCAACAAAGCAACGCATAAACTGATGTGTTATTTGTGTCGATTTTGCAAAACTCACAGCTTTGCGAGAGAGTTGAAATAGTACCCAAACTCATCATCCATACATCCCCCCAGGGCGCACCCCGCACCATCGAAGCCGTACACAACCACAACCATGGGCGACAACAGCGCCAGTTCCTCCGGCTCAGCCGACACATCAGCCTCTGGCTATGCCCAGCATTCCGAGCAAGAAATTAACGTCCTCATTACCGGTTTCGGCGTATGTCTCCCCCTCCCACCCCCCCATGTATAAACGCCCCGCTAACCCCTCGCAGCCTTTCAAAGCCCAATACCACATCAACCCCTCCTGGGAAATCGCGCGCAACCTCCCCTCAACGCTGCGTCTCCCTCCCTCGCCCCGCGCGCCGGGAGGGACGAAGGTGAATCTCCGCGTGCATCCGCGCTCAATCCGCGTCGCGTACGCAGTCGTAGATGCTGTTGTGCCAGGACTGTGGGAGGGGGAAGACGGGTGGCGCCCTGATTGGGGTGTGCACATCGGGATGGCAGCAGGGCGGGGATTTTACTGTCTCGAGAAGCGGGCTGCGGGGTTCGGGTATGCGGTGGGAGATGTAGAGGGGTGTTTGCCTGACAAGGCGGGGGTGGAGGGGGAGGTGTTGGAGCCGGGGATTGGGGTTGATGAGGTGGTTGGGGTGTGGAAGGGGAGGGTTGGGGGGGCGGATGTGAGGGCGTCGGAGGATGCGGGGAGGTATCTTTGTGAGTATATTTTGCATGAGAGTTTGGGGGTTTTAAGGGGGGGGGAGAGGGAGGGGAAGTGTCTGTTTTTGCATGTACCGGCTGGGGTGAAGGAGGTGGATGTGGAGAGGGGGAGGAGGGTTGTGTTGGGGCTTGTGAAGGCGGTAGTGGAGGTTGGGTGGGAGGGGGGGAGGTGGGGCGGGGGGGTGAGAGTGACAAGGAAGCTGTGAAGGGGTTTGTGGGAGGGGGTTCGGTGAGAGAGAGGGTGGGCTTATGAGTTGGGTTTGATTAACCGTTGTGAAGGCATCTACGTAATATATCTGAGAGGATGCAGCGCCTGGGTTTATGAGATGACAATATTACAACGCACTTTTCATTTGCCATTTCGTCATTGACGAGACTACAAATGGCTCCATGAAGGATTGGGTAAATGAGGACGCGCGTACATGAAATATAATTTGAATTTGTATATACTTTTTATTCATACCCGGTCCGGTCTCTCTGTGGCTGTGCGTAGCTAAGAACTGATGCAGAATTTTAAACTGATTAAATTCCTCTCAGTCTCGTTTCGGGGTAATGGTGTCAAGATAGGCTGCAATATCATACCAATATCCTCAAGTGACCAAAGGCCGTTGATTGGTTGACTGATACTTGCTATAAAATATTCAAAATGACAATTATTTCCCAGGCTCTAAGTGACTGTTAAACGCAGAACTGGTCTGCGCGAGGCCGGGACGATTTCGTTACGGATTATGATGACTTGGAAGATTTAGTCTGTCCCAGTTTGTTTGCATGGACTTGAAGACGTTTCGACCGTCGCGGTTTGTCGGTTATGCTGAGAGACTGTATTTCCTCCGTTGTTCGATCAGGGCTGAGTGTGTTACTGTGGTTTTCAAACTTGACTGAGCCTTTAAGGCCAAAGCGATTGCGTAATACGTTGTCCTCAGAGAGCCGCTCGATGATTTGGGATACTGGATCCTCCACAGTGAATCGTGCAAAATTATTGAGATCTAGCTCGGACCCCATCTGCCGACGGCGAACGGCTTCTCCTGACTCCTCTAGTGTATGCAAAGAGGTAAAATGTCGTTCTAGGACGAATTTTGACTCCATCTATCCTCCCACATGCATGCCTGCTCCGCGTCAAATTCTAGCCATGGCAAGATTCGATCAGGGCGCGGTTTGTTATCTGCGTTCGCGGCATCGCCTTGTGTTGACTGTGTGGTATCTGGTTGAATGGTTAGACCTAGGCAAAGGTGTTTGTGGCATGCATCGAGGAACTCGGGCAGCGTTGTCTTTCCGGTCCTCCGTTCGTAGCGTTGTCGGTCTTCTTCGCGGAGTCGTTCTGCTTCTTGTTCCCGTTGCTTTGCTTCTTGTTCTCGTGCCATGCTAAGAGTACTGTGTGTTGTCAGTGTCCTGCCCCTGTACATGTTCAGAATATTCCAGGGCTCTCACCTTGAATTCACTTGGGTGAAATCAAATCTGGCGCTAGTAAGGTTGTCGGCATAGGAATCGGGCGCCAAATGCGTCTATTTGGCGTGGTTTTGGCGTGATAGAGGCTTGATTGTTTCACTTTGCGGTGTATTGAGGTTGGTGTAGGTGAATTTGAGGCTGTGGCAAGGCTCTAGCGCAGATAGATGGCCCTGGTTTGGCCGATCTACTGCGCACGAGGTTTTGGATGACTTGAATCGGTCAGAAAGAGGTTTTGGATGAAAGGAAAGGTGTTTGAACTTACAGAAAGGCTGTTCTAGGGGTCCACAAACAGCCAGAAGGAAGGTGGTGGTGTTGTTGTTGTTGGAGGGTTGACGGAAGAAGAAGAAGGTTGATATTTGGAAATCGGTTTCGGCAACAGAGCCCACCAAATTGTTGGAACAAGTACAGAGGAGGGCCAAATAGAGAGGAGGGCTGATGGTAGAAGCGTATTATTGGAAGCGTACGTCCCAGGTGCAATGAATGAACGTTTTTGGAGAAGTAGGGACCATATATATCTCCTCTGCCTCAATTTGTGGTAACGTAACTATTCGTCGGAACAAGGTTTGGGCGAATAGTGGGAGGTTCAGAACCATTTCCCAAGATCCCTTCTGAACCAACTCTTCTATAAGTATGAAGACCTTGGGCAATTGGTCTAGGTCGGAGCATATGTAAACAAACCAATTATCCGACCAAACGTAGTAGATGTGGTTACTACTATGTCGCCCTGCCTTAAAGTGCGCCGCCGGGAACTCTCTGTAATTGAATATGACAATTGTTGATACCAGCGGAAACGTGTATTCTTAAACATCACTCTGTGGTGGCCATGTTTGGTAAGTATCTCCTCAAATAAGTTCGAAAATGATTTAGTAAACAGTCGAACTTTAACTGGAAGTCCCTGTAAACCACACTCAGTTCTTGATAGCTCACCTTGGACCCGGACATCAATATGAGAGCCACTAGCCTCTACATTACCGTGTACACGTAAGTCTGAGGTTAAGGCATGCCTATCAGCAACTGTTAGTAGAGATTCAAACACTGCTGGGCAATTATCTGTCATACTGACATTCGTTGCACTCAGTTTGCTATCAAACTCAAGAGCAAACTTAGAAATCTCCTCCTCAAACCTACAAGTCACTATACATATTTTGGCTTGTCACACCAACAACAAGAGCAATACTACTCAACGATTGCTACAACCCTCTATGATTCATTACACATCAGCGCTCCTTAGTTACTGGGCCGATATGACCACATAGCATATCTCTACAACCCTCTATGATTCATTACATGACATCACTCCTTAGTTACTGGGCTAATACTACACATGACATATCTCTATCAACTAGAGGCCTAGGAACATGAACGATAGCTCCAAAAGCTTCTACAACCCTCTATGATTCATTACACGTCATCGCTCCTTAGTTACCCACAAGATTGGTTAAGTTATGACATAATTTGTCTATAGGGGTACTCTGACCTTGGACCTCCTTTCACTTCCTATAGGCTAGGAACCTAGGAGATGGTTCTATGGGATTCTCTTACGTCGACTACAGTTACCAAGCCTGGTTAGTCATGGAAAGTCTTGGAAAATGAGAGAACTACACTCCTTTAGCATAAATAGGATTGCCCTTTCCTTAAGAAAGGGCAAGCAGACAATACAGTAAATCGACTATCACATACTTCCACGTCTTTTCCAAGCTTCCAAGCATTGATCTTGTTACTCCTTGTTTCTGAAAAGTCAGTGAGGTGTTAACCTCTGACTTACCCCTGAGTTCCCAGACTCAACATTTGTTGCAACTTGTCTGAACCACTTCACTACATCACACACCTGATTGCTGCGTTGTGGAATAGTCTAAGCTACAACCCTTTGGCTCTGTTTCCTAAGACAGTGTGTTGTCTTAGTAAAATCATCCCTTCCTTGGGTGGCTAGATTCTCACATCTGGTGCACCCACCATTACACTATCATGCCCAATAAACACAACCTGCCCAGAATGCTTGGATGTAGAGACGCAACAAGCAGTGTTGTTACATTTATATTGGACAAAGTCAGACGGAAAAATTGGCTCTCCACAATTATCCACAATATCGGCCATCCCTTGGTGTATAGGCTGACCAAGAATAGATGATAGTATTGTAGCAGCAATAACCCGAGGGTCAAAGAAGTGAATATAGCTTTGAGACTTTGCAGCGATGCCTGAAGGCTGCTTGTCCATCCGGACGTCTATTATTGATCTTTAAAGTAGTAGTAAAGGTAGTCGGCGATGACACCACTTTTGAAGTGTTGCAAGGTTCTCTGGGAGCTGAGTAAATTCCTCGTTTGGAATGAGTCGTAACACTTGGATCAAGGCCTTATAGGACTGCCGAGTAACTCGATGCGTATCGCACCAAATGCCAAATGCCATGGTGAAGTCTGATAATGGTGTCGATTGAGGGTTTAAAGCTGCTAGATCAATGATGTAATGGTGGGTGCACCAGATGTGAGAATCTAGCCACCCAAGGAAGGGATGATGTTACTAAGACAACACACTGTCTTAGAAAAAGAGCCAAAGGGTCGTAGCTTAGACTATTCCATAACGCAGCAATCAGGTGTATGATATAGTGGAGTGGTTTAGACAAGTTGTAACAAATGTTGAGTCTTAGAACTCAGGGATAAGTCAGAGGTTAATACCTCACTGACTTTTCAGAAACAAGGAGTAACAATATCAATGCTTGGAAGCTTGGAAAAGACGTGGAAGTATGTGATAGTCGATTTACTGTATTGTCTGCTTGCCCTTTCTTAAGGAAAGGGCAATCCTATTTATGCTAAAGGAGTGTAGTTCTCTCATTTTCCAAGACTTTCCATGACTAACCAGGCTTGGTAACTGTAGTCGACGTAAGAGAATCCCATAGAACCATCTCTTAGGTTTGTAGCCTATAGGAAGTAAAAGGAGGTCCAAGGTCAGAGTACCCCTTGTACAGTATTTGCTTAGTCACCAGAAACACGATTAGGCGAGGCAGGATCATTATGGCCTGAGCTCCAACAGTAGATACAAGAATAACATCATCATCGCCTCATATTGATACGCCCATACCTGGATGCATGACAAACTGGGGGTCTTGCCCGAGATTCACCTTTGAGTGAATGGTATGGGCCGTAGGCAATTGAAGCTGAAGACATGCAGAAAACCAGCAGCACATCGGGGGCATGAAATCTATTTGTGTGTCCTTGCCATACATTATTGTTTTCGAAGCATTTGGGAATGGAAGGAGCGACTTCAAATGGGTCGCCAAACCGGGAGGCGGTCAGAGGTAGGCCCACTTGAGAGGGCCAATCAGAGGCTACGGATGGTCACCAGACCCCAAGTCGGAAGGTGCAGGAGTGCGAAGCGAGGTCCTCAAGCTCAGTGTTTCGCCCATCTTTCTTCTTCAACTTCTTTATCTTCTTCATCATCGGTCTCAGAATACAGCTCAAGGTCTTACGGGCGGTGTTCAGGTCAGTGTGAGCTTCAAAGTGTCAGAAAAGTTCTTCTTGTTCGAAAATCGTGTGTTAGAAGGTGTTTGAAGCCTCAGGGGAGGTGTGAGCACTTGAAGGCTGCGAGAACACTGTTGTCTGTACTCAAAACAGTGAGGGAGTGTTTGAAGTGTGTGAGAGAAAGTGAGTGTTTGAAATCTGTGAGAGAAAGTGAGTCTTCGGAGTGTGTGAGGAGAGGTACGGCAAGGTTTCCAGTTCCTCTACAGGCTTGTACGAGCGAAGGAAGGTTGTCAGGAAGGTGTGAGTGTGCGGAGTACATGGAAGGGAGTCTCCCGGATCAAGAACCGGTCTGGGATTTCTCAGGGTACAGGGAAAGTGAAGAGTTGAGCGTGTCAGAATCCCACGAAGACGCTAGTCTTGAAGAACTGAGTCGCGTCTTGATTGATCCATTCACAATGTCAGGATTTGGAGCTGGAACACCGGCCACAGCTCAGGTGGATGAGCAGAGAGCCTTCATCGCTGAAGCAAAACGTATAAATCGGTTGGACATCAAGGTCCCAAAGTTCAGCAACGGGCTGACCCAGGATGTCAAGGCCTTCGTGGATACTATCTCATGGAAGCATACCATCTCTCGGTCGGATTATGAGAAGATGTCCCCAGATCTCAATGGGGAGCTAGATGAATGCCTTGTGCTTTATCTGTTCTCCAAATTGGAGGGTGAGCCTGCACGTTGGTGGACAAATCTTGCGGAAGATCAGAAGGCGAATTATAAGAGAGTCACGACGCTCCTCATTGCGCGATACGGAAGGGATGAGGTCCGTCAGCGCCGTTCCCTGCGCCAACGCGTTGCAGCTGAGCTGAACAATTTGCACCAACGTGGGAGGAGTATTGCTGAGTATGTCGCGGAGGCGAAGGACATACACACGAGAATTGGGGCCGATCAAGAGCAGACCTTGTCGGATAACTTTGTTAACAATATGACCGATCCCGGCTTCGCCAACATCCTCAGAGCTCTCACGTCGAGGGAAGATTTGTCGTTTCTGCAGATTCTTGACACTGTCATCGAGATGCAAGGACCGACATACGTTGAGAAAAAGCCGGCTCACGAAGAAACTCTCGAAGAGTCAAAGAATGCAAACCGCCTCATGAGAACAATGGCGAACGTGATGGAGAGATCCCAAGGCCAACGTTCCCGAGGAAATCAAGCACCCTACAGTGCTCAGAGGCAGATTGTGGAATACAGGCCGCAACAAGTGCCCCTTGAATACCAAGGCCCTCTGCCGCAATTTCAAGTGCAGCATTTTGAACAGCAGCAGTAGCAGAGGATCACCAGTCAACCGAATATCCGCCAAACTGAGTCATATGCTGCCCCTCCTCCACAGTATCAGCAATTACACCAACTTCAGCAACAGCAACAAAGTGGAGCCCGGAAGCAATGGGGAGGATCTGCGAACCAAGGTCAGAGTCGCTCTGTTGAACCTAATGGGGGAGGGTATCGACCCGGAGGTGGGAAAATCCACGCGCAATGCTTCAAATGTGCAGAATTCGGTCATTACGCTCCGGATTGTACAAACATGCCAGCGTCAGAAGAAGTGCAGCAAGCTGCAAGGGATTTCGCGAATCAGAAGAGAACTGCAGCCATCCAGAGGGCCTCAAGCAATTCCATGAATGCTGGACTGCAAGGCCGCATGGATGCACCGAACAAATTTGGCCAAGGGCAAGGGAGGATCACGGAAGTTTCAGCAGTTCAAGGTGCAAAGACGTGGGCAATCCATGATGCCCAAATGGCCGCAGCAACCAATGGAGTGCTGGGCCAGGGGCAAAGACATCAGGATACTGTGGGAATGTATGATCAGGAGTCTGACTTCTCATGGGTCAGGAATACTACGTTCAGTGGGAGTGTCTCTGTTTTCCAGGAACCCTACGTCTCAAATGCTACGGCTGATGTTCGGCCGCCCATGGAGACCTACGCTGCAGAAAAGAGAAAAGCACCCCTTGCTCCCCAAGATGCTCAGCACGGGCAAGGGATGGTATGGCCGGGAGATGCTTCTGTCCCAGTACCTGGAGTTCAACACAAGCCACGCGTAAAAAAGAGCACGGGTATCGAGGCACTCGTAAGCGGTCGCCCAATTCGCGCTATCGGTGATGCTGTCCCGTATATGGGATGACCTGCACGCGAGGAAATCTCAGCCCGATATATCCTTTCCCCAACTGATCAACGTGTCCCCGACTGTCCGCGCGCAGATTGCGTTCGGTACCACTATGCAGCCGCGTGAAATTAGTGAACGCCAGGAAGAGGCGGAATCCCAGACTATGAGACACCCTCCTCCACCTGCTGTCGAGGAAGAAGTGGATGAATTGGTCAGGCCTGTCGCGAAGGCTAGGAGACGAATTCAAGGAGGCATCCTCCAGAGTCAAGCAGTGGAAACCCAATGCAAGTTGAGACTCGTCTCGCAATTCCAGGGAGCGACCCCACCACCCTGCTTCTACACCATCTGTTCAATCAGGTCTGTCCTCAACCAGGACGAGTTTGAGGTGAATCAGGTCCTCGTCGATGGCGGATCTTCAATCGAGCTCATTAGTGCAAAGGTTGCCAAGCAACTCGATTGTGTCTGGCACTCTGATTCATCAGGGTGGAAAATGCGCACTGCCGACAGTTCAATTCACCCACTTGATGAGTATGTCCTCCTACCCATTCGAGTTGCCGGAGTAGAGTGGGTGATGAAATGTTTTGTCATTTACGGAACTACATCTTATAATATTCTCTTGGGTCGTGGGTGGTTGAATCAAGTGAAGGCAGTTGGAGATTATGGAAGCAACGACTATTTCATTTTCAGTTCAGACGGCAAACCGCGAAAGGTTCCAAAATCTGGGGATGCTCAACCGCAAGTCTCCTTGAAGGCTCACTTTGATCGAGATCCTGAATGTCAAAAGCGTCCTTTGAATTCACCTGGGTTAGGATTTCCCCAGCCACTGAACACCTTGCCAGTAAAACTCCCAGAGTGGGACGAAGAGTCGGATGAAATGGTTGATGAGAGACTTTCGGAACTTGCTGAGCAACTGGCCACTTCAGCTCTCCTCCAAGCCACTGACCCAGATTACGAGTCCGAGGATCCTCACATGGAACTGCTACTCCAGCAATATCATGAAGCGGGAAAAGAGCAGGGCCGCAGGATGCCAGAATAACTGCTGCCCAGCCCACAAATTTCCGGAAAGACCTGACAATCTCAGGCAATGGGGAGCATGGGGAGGAATCACGGAGAGAACAAGTTGTTCGGAGGAGGCGAGAGCGATATGGGAATCAGGGAAACGGCAAGGAAGATTGGAGTGATAGGTTCAGGGATCTGTGGCCAGAGGACAGGAAAAGCTTTCGAAATCTAGATCGATGGATACAGGAGTTTGAGGAAGCGCGGAATGCGCTACGATGGGCTGCAAAGCGCGCGGTCGACAAATGTGCTGTTCTTGAAATGAGAACTCTACCCTGTCCATCTGCACCAGACAGTCAGTATGCAGATGAGTCGGAGATTCTTCAACGAGCCCAAGGGAAGACTGGGGAGGCTGCTCGAGAGGCACGCCGAATGATTGATGAAGGCATACCCGCTCATAGGTCAAATGCACGAGACGGGAAAGACAAGGGGAGTGGTCGGAGATTGAAGCCTCTGGATCGGGAGAGAACTGGTCGCCCACGTGAAGCACACACAGCAGGCATCGCGTTGCCTGCCCATGGGATCTCAATTGTAGAGAGAGCTCATGGGGTTGCAGGGAGCACCGGGAATTGAGCCGCCATCCCCTCTATCACATATTCGCGGGAAATGTTTCTGCTGTCGCTCCTTGGGCCCCTAATGAGGGAGAGGATGACACTCCAGATTCTTCACCTAGGAGGCAGCCGTGGAATGAGGGCAAATCCCTAGATTCTGCTCAGTGCTACGAATGTGGAATTTCGATGGAACCAGTCGATGCAACTGGGAGCATGAGAGAAGCAAAGGCATCAAGGGCTTCTGACAATGAATTGCATGAATCCCCTCAGGCTTCCCAAGCTGCTCTCCCAGTCGTCAACCTGTGCGGAGAGTGCTACCACATTTGCACCATGCATGCTTCAAGTGAGGAAGAACAGAGAGCATTAGCGACAGAGGATCGATACAACTTTCCTACCAAGGAACGACCAGCCCAATACCGGAGAGAGATGTCGCAAGCATCAGTAGAAGACATCCGGGAGTGGACTCAGGCAAATGAGAGACTCATCGCTGAGCTTGTCACCTCTGAGGAGGACATTGATTTCGTTGGACGATGCCTGTATACGTGGCGAGATATGTTCGCCACAGATGTTCGCGATTTGCCTGCCACAGATCTGGTTACTTATAACATCCCCACGCACGATCACATTCCTCCCCGAAAGGCGACACTGAAAATTTATACGGACCGTGAGGTTCGTTGGCAGCACGAAGAATTTCCGAAACTTCTCGCTGCACAAATTATACAATACTCTGAGTCGCCATGGGCGGCGCGCTGCAGATTCGTGGAGAAGACTTCGGGGCAGTTGAGACTTGTACATAATTTTATACCATTAAACAACGCAACTATCAAGTCACAATACCCTGCTCGAAGAATCGAGCCTATCTTGCGTACGCTCGGGCAAGAACATTTGCGGTTTATGTTTTGTGCTGACGGTCTCCACGGCTACTGGGCCGTGAAGATCGCCAGGGAGCATCAATTCAAGACTGCATTTATTTCGAGTCTCGGCCAGTTCTGTTATGCCCGAATGGGGCAGGGCTTAACAGGGTCACCAGGAACTTACGCACGGTTGAAGGATTTGGTCACTGGTCCCATCCCTGCGCCAGATGCAGAGCCCGCATTGGCAGATGTCATGCCGGGAGTGAGCACTTTCGCTCACTTTGTTGACGACGACGCTGGCGGAGCGGACACTCTGGAGAATCTTGTTCACTTTTTGCATCACTTCTATTTTCCCCGGTTGGCCTGGGCCAAACTTCGACTAAACCCTGAGAAGGCTCGATTTGGCAGTGCGAATGTCCGCATCCTTGGCCATGCCCGCACCACTCATGGACTGCGGCCGTCTGCTGACAAAATCGCAGCATTCCGTGATTGGCCGGTACCTGTTGAACCCCGGGATTTGGAACGGTTTCTCGCGACTATCCCCTTCTTGAAGACTTATGTTCCGGGAAGAGCAGACTTGTGCCAGAAACTCAAGACTGCTATCATCACGGAGCCTGGGACAGTGAAAAATAAGAAGGGCAAGGTTGTTAACCGGAAGCTGGCTGTTGGTCTGAATTGGACTCCAGAACATGACCGCATCTTCGCCCAACTCAAGCAGGCAGTTTGCGAGACTTGCGTGGTCTCTGGGGATGAGAACAAGCAATATCATTTGGCCACCGATGCGAGTAAGACCGGTCTCGGAGGAGTTCTTTACCAATTATGCGACGACAAGCCGTATGTCGTTTGCTTCCTTTCTTACCAACTCACTGCCACTCAGAGCTTATGGCACACCACCGAACGGGAATCATTCGCGGTATTTAAGTGTCTGCAAGAGTGTGACTGGTTGCTTTTAGGATCCAAATTCCCAGTTAGAGTTTATACAGACCATTCAGCCCTCTTGTCTCTTATGAAATCGGATGACCCTCATGGACGTATTGCCCGCTGGCAAATTTTCTTGTCTCGCTTCGATCTCGAGTACATCCATGTACCCGGGCGAGAACTGGCCGTTGCGGATGGGTTATCGAGATTTAACAAGGTTACATCCTCCTCTGTCACGTCAGCAAACACCTTCCTCTCTCCTGCGGATCTTGGTTATGACTCCGAAGAAGAATGTGACCTGCACGCTCTCGCTGTGGAACTCCGGCTGCAACACAAATGGCCGCCTGATTACGCCCCATTAGACCCCGAAGACCTTGGTGCTCAAGATATTCTCAAGGGTTGGGAACGTTGGGTTGAAGATCCGTGGTATGGCGACATTGTGAAGTACAAAGCAACCAATGCGCTCCCTCTCCAGTCGGAGATGACTTCTGCTGAGCGTTGCAACCTTCGTCGTCTCACTCTCAAATTTGTCTTATGGGATTCTACTGCTGGCCCTAGATTGATATACATTGAAAAGGATGGTTCTCGCTCTCGATGCATTCAAAAGGAGAATGTTGAAATCGAATTGCGGGCATTACACACTCTACACGGTCATTTTGCGGCTGGTATTCTGCAGAAGGAAGTGGTAGGAAAAGCATATTGGCCTTCTAGGATGCGGGACATTGACAAATATTGTAAGTCTTGTCCAGCTTGTCAAGCTGTTGGTCCGCTATGCCCAAGTGTCGGGTTG